CCAATAACTCGAGCAACTCCGGCAGCCGCATGCAGTCCATGTGCAACCTATAGCCGAAGCGGCCGGGCCGCAGCAGAGCGGGGTCGATGCCACTGGCATCTCGAGTGGTCATCACTACGATGCGGGACGGCGTCTCCACTACGCCGTCAAGGGCGTTAAGCAGGCCGGAGAGCGAAGCGGCGTCGTTGAACTGCAGCCTTCGTGGGACAAACGTCGGGACTTCGCCAGCTTCACCCTCGCGGTTACCCCCTTCCGCGGTGGAAGGGCGACGCAGCAACGCATCCCTATGGTTGACGTCGTCGAGGAGGAAAACGACGTCGCCGTAGGAGAAGCGAAAGGGCTGGCTTTCCCCGACACACCTCAGCTCACGGCCGAGGAAAACATCAAACAGCTGTTGGTTCGTGGAGAAGAGAGGGAGGCGCAAAAAAATGACATGCCGGGAGGTGTACGCCGCCAGCGCCGCCGCAAATGCTGTCTTCCCCGTGCCTTCCGGGCCATGCAGAAGAAACCCGAGTTTGTCAGGAATCCCCTCCACGGCGAATCGGCCCTCCTTCCGAAGGAAGCGGTCGAGTAGCGGCAGAACGTCCCGCTTCTGCGGGAAAAACAAGGTGTCGAACGATTTCGCGGCCGAAAGCGGACTTTTCTTGAAACACAGTCCCTCGTTGCCGACCTGCATGTGAAAGGAATACTTCCCGGGACCGGCGGCAGAGGGCAGCTCCGTCGCGTAGTGGCGCAGCGAGCGAAAGATAAAATTTTCCAATCGCTGGGGACCGTTCGGCCCCACTGTCTTCAAACGCAGCGTGTGTTCCACTTTATCCACTCTGTTCGCCTCTTCCCGCCGACGCTGGTAAGTCACGTGAATGCCGTCGCCCAGCGCCACCCATGCGCCGGCGGTGGGGAGTCGAAGAACGGTGTACCGCTGCAGCTGCTCTTGCTCGCAAAAGGCCCGCTGCTCCACCTTCGAGTGGTATATGCCGACGGGCTCAAAGGAGCTGAAGGTGAGCATCAGGTGGGAGTCGCTCTTGAGTGGGTCAAAGAGAAAAAGCACGGATGGCTTATTGCGCCAATCCGCCTCTTTCCACAAGTCCTCCGCGTTGTGCGCCACTCCGGCGCCCCTGGCGATGTACAGCAGCACCGCATTGAAGAGAATGCCGCTGTGCGTACTTCCGCCGTCCTCACTCCAGCGGTTTCTAGGGTCGCCGCGGTGGAACCGCCCAGTGATGGTGCGCACGGTCTCACCCGCGGATTTGCCCCAAAGTCGTCTCCAGCGCCTCTTCGCCACCGGCCAGAGCACGTTGCCCACACCGAAGAGAAACGGCATCATGGCAACAACTAACACCATCATAAACGGTGCACATCCGGTTGGTGCATCCGACGGTAACTCCGCATTGAGGCGAATGAGAGACACAACGGGATGGACGCTGCGGCGGTCACTCATAAAATTTTCACTTCCGCTGCCCCCACCTCCCGCGCCTGTTTCACAAAGCGCAACACCAGCGTGCATATATGCCTTCTCTCTCTGTGGATATATATATATATATATATATATATATATG